TATCATTGTTGCAATCCTTTTGCTTAATGGTGAAAACCCAGTTTGATAAACAGGTTAAGATCATTCGATCTGATCAAGGACAGGAGTTCAATATGATTGATTTCTATCAATCACAGGGTATTGTTCATCAAATGAGCTGTGTTAGAACTGCTCAGCAAAATGGCAGGGTAGAGAGGAAACATCAACACCTGTTGAATGTGGCCAGATCTCTTAAGCTTCAGTCAGGATTGCCTAAAAGTTTCTGGAGTCACTTTGTCCTGCATGCTGCTTACCTTATTAACCGCATTCCCACACCTGTCTTAGAGAACAAGTCTCCCTTTGAGTGTCTCTATGGAGTTCCACCTGATTACAGCACCCTTAGGGTGTTTGGATGCATGGCTTATGCCACTGTTCTTGATGATCATATAGGTAAATTCGACCCTAGAGCCAGAAGAGTAGTGTTCATAGGGTTCCCTTTTGATGTGAAGGGATACAAACTGTATGATTTGGACAACCTACAGTCTTTCCCTTCAAGGCTACTGATGCTCCTGCTGATAAGGCTGGTTCTAGTTCAATCTCACCTCCTCCTTCTTTTCTCTATGATTCTGATCCTATTTTACCTCATGACCATAACATTCATGAGACCACTGATCCAGATTTCATTCCCTCTTCTCCTTCTAGCTCAGTGGGTTCTGATTCCTCTTCTTCTCCATCTCCATCTCCTACTTCTCTTCCTCCTTCACCTCCTATTGCTCTTCATAAGCCCCAACGAGCAGTAAAGAAACCTGCTTACCTATCTGACTATCATGTCAGTTTACTTTCTTCTACCACTCTCCCACATGACTCCAAGTTATTATATCCTTTGAGTGCCTGCATCAGTTATGATCATTTACCCCCTTCACACAAACTTTTTTCCCTCTCCATCACTGTTTTACCTGAACCTCAGACTTATCTGCAGGCTGTAAGCATCCCTTGTTGGAACAATGCTATGAATGAGGAAATGGCACCTTTGGATGCCAACAGAACTTGGGATGTGGTTAATAGGCCAGTTGACAACCAGTTGTGGGTAACAAATGGGTTTACAAAACCAAATATCTTCCTAATGGTTCTGTTGAAAGGTGCAGGGCACGTTTAGTTGCAAAAGGATATACTCAAACACATGGTGTAGATTTCATGGAAACCTATTCACCTGTGGCCAAAATGAATTCTGTCAAGTTGTTAATTGCTGTTGCTGCAATCAAAGGCTGGGATTTGCAGCAGATGGATGTTAGTAATGCGTTTTTACATGGTGATTTGGATGAGGAAGTGTTCATGGAACTCTCTCCTATTCTGAAGAATCAGGAAGGAATGCAAGGCAAAGTTTGTAGACTTAGAAAGTCCTTATATGGTCTTAAACATGTCAGTCGACAATGGTATATCAAGCTCAGTGATTGCCTTCAAAACTTTGGGTTTGTTCAATCTTTTGATGACTACTCTGTGTTCAAACTACAGAAGCAAGACTCTTGTGTGTTTGTGATCATCTATGTAGATGATCTTATCATTGCTGGAAATGATACAGCTTTGATTACACAGACCAAGCAACATTTACATCAATCTTTCAAAATCAAAGACCTGGGCACTCTCAAGTACTTCCTAGGTGTTGAAATTGATAGTGAGGCTACTTTGTCGAGAGCTTATAACAGATTTACAATGGTAAAGTCTAGAGCTACTAGCCTATGACATGAACACGTTAGATATTTGATTACTAATGTAATCATTTCTATTGTGTATGTAAGATCGCTCAATAATGTGGCATGATCTATGAGTCATCCTAAGGGAAGGGATTGAGACTCTTGTGTAGTTAGAAGTAACATGAACCCAACCTTTTCTTTAGGTATTCACTAATTAAATGGTTCAATGTGGTAATAACAAGTTACTCTAACAGAGGCACTAATTTATTGTACAAGTAAATTAGTCCAAAGAAGGGTGAGTTATAGAACTCTTGAGATGAGTTATAGAACTCTTAATGAATTCATTTGGAATGTCACCTATGTGAGCATTTAGAGTGGTGCCGCTCTAACAAAAGTAGAGGTCAACTTTTGTGAATGCTCATGAAACAGGATCAGCACATGGCCATAATAGTGCTACCCTAGTTGGTGGTTGTGGTTTAGAGAAGAGACAAGTACGTGTGTGGCATCTTCGGTTATAGCTTTGGATCATGACTCCTAGGCTTAAGCCCGTCACTGATTCGTTATCAACTTTGAGTTGCTTACACTAGGTAAAGGTTCAAATCGAAAAGATACCTTTATGTATGCGTTACTTGTTCGAGGCAGGTATTCTCAACTCTTGTTGACTAAGTGGGGGATTGTTAGAGTTAGTCAATAGAGTTGTAATACCACATTGATGGGAGAAGGAAAGTTTAAGAATTGAGTCTTTTGGCAGTTTAATTAATTAATTAATTTTTTATATTAATTAATAAACGTTTGAATATTATGAAAGTATGTTTCCTTTCGGGAGAGGTAACTACCCTTCTCTGTGAAAGGATGTGTCCTTTCGGGAAAGTAACTACCTTTTATGTGAAAGGATGTGTCCTTTCGGGAAAGTAACTTCCAAATTTCACAACTATAAATATGTGATTGCCATAACTCTTTTGATGACGAGAGATTACTTCTTCTTTCCGTTTTCCTTCTCTATTTCATAAACACAGAAGTCTGCAAGATTGCTGCTTCCAGACTTAAAATTGAAGGGACTCCTGGGGGTGGTTTGCTCGAGCCTACCAGCAATTTGTAGTGGGGGTAAATAACACTCTAAAGAGAGTGATTAATCACGCCTTCAATCAATTCTTCCATACCGTTTCCCTGACACAAACTCACTTGTGTAATTCGATGAGAACGGAACTAAGGGTCAATGTTGAGTAATGTTTTATTTAAGAAGCTCATGTTAAGGATTAATAAATTTTGACAGAGTAAATATATACATTGAGGTGTAAGAGAGAACAACAAATATTTTTTCTTTGACGAATTACTAATAAGAAGATAACAATATAATTTTCTTGAATAACTATAAAATTAAAAATAATCGATATAAATAATAACAGATTCGGTTCGGCCAAAGGCGGGGTACAAAACTAGTTTCCTTTATGGAGATGGAGGGACACTAATTGTCCAAAACTGTTTACACCGTTTTGTAAACGAGTAATGAGTTAATGACCCTTTTAAGAGATTTGAATAAATTTGTAATATTACTATTAATTCAAATTATTAAATTTATTTTCTTACTGTTAAAGTTTTCTATAGAAAATAAATATCAATATTGCAAGAAATTGTTTCTTGAGTTTTGAAAAACTAGCCTACCGATAGTGGGTTGGTCCTACGACGAGTTTAACTATGAAGTGTGTAGTAACCATAATTTGAAAAGAGCATTGAACACTTATTCTTCAAATGCCCCCTAGCCATCAAATTGTGGATCCTAGTGGGATTGAACAACTTCACTGATTCCGCCCTGACTGTTAATTTTAATCTATTGTGGCGACTTGTCATGATGTTTAAGATCTCCTCATTCCACATTCTCCAATGCGTCTGTTTACTTTGGAGAATCTAGAAGTCTATAAATAAAGTGTCTTTTGAATTACCAACCTCATGTCCGTTCCCTTGCCAGACAATTCTACAATTAGGGTGCTCGTCTGGTCTTGTTATCCGTGGGTCAGACGGGCATGTGGTGCTGGCAGCCGGTTTGCGTCACCCGAAAATAGTCAACCCCTACATGGTAGAGCTCCCAGCAGCAAAAGATGCTATCACCACCATCGCCTCAAGATCTTTTACTCAAGTGATAGTGGAAGGTTATTCCGAAGTGGTCGTCAACCAGATCCAACAAGGTGTCCTAGAAGATTTCTTTGGATGTCCAGTGTTTTGAGAGTGTTGTAAGATGCTAGACTCTTTGTTAGTTTGTATAGAGTTTAGGGCGGCTCCTAGAGCTGCCAACAGTGCTGCCCATAGAGTGGCGCGTAAAGCACTGCTATTGTCTCCTCTAGAGTTAGAGTCTTTCGACTTTTTTGGGTGGATTCACTAGGGTGTCGTTTGTAAGGGATTCCTGGGTAGTTTTGTTTGTTTAACTCTTGTACTCTCTTGATGTCACTCAGAAATAAATAAAAATATAAATTATTAATTGTATCAAAATAAAAAATTATTGATACGGTCTTACTAATTTGCTATGAACTTATTATAAATATTAGTCAACTTTCTTAATAGCTAGTTGGATAATTGCTTTTGCGGGTTGACCCGCAGCTAGGGGTATCCATTCGGGTTTGGTTTTTCGGGTTCGAGTTTATTTTGGGTTTCAGGTTTTCGTTTCGGGTTCGGTTTTGCTTATCGGTTTTTCGGGTTCCGGCTGAAAACCTCTAAAAAATTAGCACTCAGTTCGTATTCTTAGGTTTTTGGGTTTTTGGGTGTCGGTTTTACTTTAACCGAACCCGAACCCGATAAGAAATTTTTAGGTTTCCGGTAATCGGAAACCGAAAGTCCTTATCGGGTTTGGGTTCGGTTTTCAGTGATCTCAGTTTTGGATTTTCGGGTTTTAGTTCGGATAACCGAACCCAACCCGAACATAGACACCTACCCGCAGTCCAACCGTACCCATTCGCCATCCACCCAACCTAACCCGCAAAAGTATGTGGGTGGATTGCGAGTCACAATTATTCCAACTCGCTAATAAGCGGGTGAATCAATTTGAAACTAAAACCCACTCAACCCGCCCATTGTCCACCCCTAATAGAACCTTCTTTCGATATGCAGATTTGTCTTCAAAAGTCGGCCTAAACTTTTCCACTTCCACAATCTTCAGAGACGACTGGTGTTTGGTAGATGGGTAAACCACCACCTCTGACGAGTGATAACTGTTGGAACATTACGTTTTTTTCCCGCACTCCATTTTTGGAACTCAAGAGTCCACCGTCGTTGCCGGTTTTAGACGCAGCCATCTAATTTGATAATGGTCGTTGCAGTCCCCTGGACGGTAAACAATTACTAGCTCCAATGTACCTAAGTATGGCGTCGTCTCCAAGTAATATATTAGTGACATATGAAGTATGGGAAACAACATTTCTTCCTTTCCTTCTTTAACAAAATTACATGTCGAACGTAAAGTAGTATATAAACTATGTATCGTGGAAATCAGATTTCTACTGGTACAGAACCATCGAGGTAAGAACTGTCACTCACTCCACCTCGAACCTACAGAGGGGAAGCAGAGGGCCGAGGATAAGCATCATTCATCCTTCCCCCACTACCAACATCACCTGTGCTTCTTCTGCGCGACCTTGGCGCATTCCCCTGATGGATGTTGGTGCTCTCATTCGCTTCCCTAATCTCCTCCAGAGCCTTCACCACCTCGTCCATGCTCGGCCGCAACTTGGCCTCCACGGAAATGCAGCGCAAGGACAGGGTGGTTGCCTTGAATGCAACTTCCATTGTGTACTGCCCTTCCAGCCGATTGTCCAGTATCCGAAAGACCTTTCGCTTGCTCCCCATGTATGGCTTCGCCCATTCCAACAGGTTGTGTTCGCCCGATGGCCTGTTCTTGTCGATCGCTCTCCTCCCTGATAGCATCTCGAGTAGCACGACACCAAAGCTGAACACGTCGCTCTTTGCAGTTAAATGGCCTGTTCGCAAAACGTTATGGCAGTTATTAGTGATCAGTATCAGCAATTCTACGGACTAGTTTCATGGCAGAGAAACAAAATTACCAGTGGCAAGGTACTCTGGAGCAGCATATCCATAGGTTCCCATAACCCTGGTAGACACATGACTCTTGTCACCGGTTGGCCCATCCTTGGCCAGTCCAAAGTCGGAGAGTTTAGCGTCATAGTTCTGCCATTAACATCCAGCCAAAAGAAAACTATTAGCAGGCCATATAGGAAGTCTATCTGAGGGAACATAAGAAGGACCAGGAAGTCCCAACTAACCGAGTCAAGCAGAATGTTGGAAGTCTTGAAATCGCGGTATATGACCTTTGTTTCAGAACTGTGAAGGAAAGCTAAGCCCTTTGCAGCACCATGAGCAACCTTCAACCTAAGGTTCCAAGAAAGAGGCTGGAAGTATGAACCTCCTGATGATGACGACAAACATTCGGAAAGTAAGGTTAACCATAAGAACAGTGATCGATCACTAGGGAAGTATTAAAGGATGGGGTCACGCCACTCACTTCTGAACAAGTGGTTTTCCAGGCTTCCTCGAGGCATGAACTCATAAACAAGAAGACGGTGTTCATCTTCCAAGCAATAGCCAAGCAGGTTCACCAAATGAGGATGGCAAAATTGTCCCAAGTAGTTCACTTCCGCCAGCCATTCCTTATGGCCCTGGTAGCTTTCTTGGTTCAGCCTCTTCACAGCTATAACCAGTCCAGTTCCAGGCTTGGTTGCAGTGTACGAATTCTCATCAATCCATCCCTTAAATACTGATCCAAACCCGCCTTCCCCTACAACACTATCGGGGCGAAAATTCCTGGTGGCAAGCTTGAGATCAGAGAAACTGAAGCTCTTCAGATTAGGAGATTGCAAAATCTCACCCTCACTCCTCCTTGGTGTTGGAGGCACTGATCCTACTGAACCTTTGCCACTCAAGTTGCTGTCGCAGCTAACGTACTTGGGACTCCCTCCTCTCCCTGACCCATTGCCATCACAACTCACATACTTGGCACTCCCCCCTGCAACAATCGAAGAAGCAGAATTCAAAGAGGGCAAACTGGTCGGGAGAGTTTGAGACAATCAAATGAAGCAACACATTGTCACGTGACAACGTAGGAATACTGTTGACGGACTCTGACGCTACTCAAATTTGAAGGTTGAACATGTATTTGGCTCAGTTGATTCATTAAAGTTGTGCTGAAAAGAGATGGCAAGTAGCCATGAGACAGTTGGCTCATGCTCTCTCCATGTTAAGCAAAACAAAACAAACCGACCCATGATGGCGAGCAGGACAAAAATTTATCGATCCCATAGCAATTGGCAGAACATGACAATTCAGGTACAAGCCAAAACAGAGCAGAAAAGTGATTTCTTTTCCCAATTTACAAAATCGATATCGTAGCTGGGAATGAACAAAACAAAACCCAAAATTCAGAAGATAAAACAGAGAGGTAAAGGAAAGAAGCAAGCATCATCCAGCAGGGAACAAAAGCACCGAAGGTGCTAAGAACAGGACTCGGATTCAAACAAACAGGATACGGAATCGAAGCTACTGGTTAAGCAGGAGAAGGAAACAAGAATGGAGAAAGAAATAAGGTAAAACAGAGCACCTGAATTCAATGGGCTCTCAGCTTTAATCTGGGAGCTTAAACAGACCCCCATTTGGAATCAAACCCAACAACGATCCGCCGTCTTGGAAACGATTTGATTGCCTTAAAGAAGATTACAGAAACAGAGGCTTGAACAGGGGGAAGGCAGATCCAGGTGTGAAAAGGAAGGTAAAGAACTCCTTTCTTTCTACGGGTATTAATGCAGGAAGGACATCAATCGATCGGTTCAGCGCATTGGAGCAACTAGCTTTTGAATTCAATAAGTCACAGGTAACAGGGAAGCAGCATCAACTAAACCCAATCACGGATTAAAAGTCGACAAAAACTGAAAACCTACACGACGCCGTCTTGGAGCCCAACGACGAATAGCGGATGAACAGAGAAAAAGGAAGAGTAAAACACGGAGAAAGGGAGAAGAGAGTTACTACAGTTGGGGAGTGGAGACAGATAGGCCGGTAGGGGAAAGATGGAGGGTTGAGGATGGAAGGTGGGGAGAAGGGCAGTAATGGCGGGTGGCGATGGCTGGCTGGTCCAGCTTTTTGGGTACCAGGACGGTGGGCTTTTTCAAGGGTGGGTTTTTCTGCTTTTGGATTCTTCGTTTCTTTGCCACTTTGAATTGTGTGTGTGCCATAAGAATTCAACTTGTCCTGCGAAAGAGTCCTTCATTTCTTTCTCTTATTATTATTGCGGAGGTAGAGAGAGAGTGGAGATAGAAATTGAGCAAGTCAAGTCAGACGGGATAAGGCTTCCAACTAGTCTAGCAGAAAGGAAGAGAAGGAGCGGACCGCTCGCCGCCTGTCAACCGTTGGATTAGATTCTCTGCGAAAATCACAAACCTGCCATCCATCCTCCCATGACCCATCATATTCCTCAAACTGTGTCCTTCTTTCTGGCTCATCGGCTTAGCTATGCTCTTCCCCAAAAGCCGCCATTTTTCTATTTGGAGTCCAACTTGCTTGTGTATATTCCAAAAAAAATACTATAAATTATAGATTGTATAGATAATAGAACTATAAATCAGTAGTTGGATAACAGAACTTTTGTTTTTGGTAAACCGGTTGGATAAGATAATTGATCATATAGATAATAAGGGGCGGTTTCTAAATTATTCCTCCTAGAAACCTCTCTAATTAGGTAAGGGGCGGTTTTGGCAACCTTCTAAAATGACTAATCAAAGTGGGATTAGCTCCAAAATGAGTAATCAAAGTTTAGAATTCTAACTTAACAAATATTGTTGTGGAGCATAAATAATAAAATAAAAATGATAACTTTTGTCTTTTCGGTTAGCAGGGGTATCTGAATACCAATAAATACGTCATATAATACAAGGCCTTCCATGATAATGTTCCTCGAATTGTGTCCCTCCTTGGTGGCTGGCTCCACTGGGCACTGCCCCTTTAAATGAACCAGCGATTATCAGATACTAATTAGCATGTTAATTAATTGTGCTTGATGATATAGATAGAGAGAACTTTAGAAGCCTTCTTTTCCTGCAGCTTGCTTTGTTTCTCTGGCAAGCACAAAAACTTGTATATGTTTTGGGTGTAAAATGTTGCTTATCCCAGATAACTCGTCCTGCTCTTGAATGAAGCTTGTGTTGGGCCAAAAGGGACCATCATCTAAATCAAGGCCCATGGGTATTGGGAATGACCCAAAAGGGGAAAAGGCCGAAAGGAGGCCCAAGCGTGAGTAGGTTGGGCCCAAATGCTGACGAGGCACTAAGAAGGCGCCGCAGACGTGCCACCGGGGAAACAAGTACGAGGTATTGAATCTGACAGGTTGTCAGGGGAGGCTATAAATAAGGGATAACCGCCACATTTAAGAGGGGGCCGATGATTCACTCTCGCTCTAGGCAAACTATTCTCTCTCTCTCTATCAAACTATTCTCTCTCTCTATTAAACCATTCTCTCTCTCTAGTAAATTACTCTCTCCATATATTCTTTCGTTCTATTGATACTGACTACCACCACAGAATACTACTGACTTAGGCATTGGAGGGCGTCCCCGGGCTACGCCTCGGGACCTTTCTTTGCAGAAGGCGGCAGTTACCACGCAACGGATACTCCCACATCTCAAGAAGTCGGCGGATTCCTCACTGACCTTACTTAAAACGCCTGGCACTTTCTAGGCGTAAACAATTTGGCGCCCACCGTGGGGCCAGTTGAGACTTCTACAACTTCTTGAGATGTCAGGGGACTCCATCACTCCCATGAAGGAGGTGATCGAACGAAGCACGCTTCGAGGTTTGTCGCCCAATGTCGAGGAGGAGATAGAGCTGGAGGATCGGGTGAAGAGTCAGGGGGAGCAGATCGCACAGATGCGGGGAAGTATAAGTCAAATACTCTCCCTAATAAAGGAGAGTGTAAGGCGGGAAGAAGAGCCGGGACCGTCCGCGACGCCACGGGACAAAGGGAAGAAAAAGGCGGTAGAAATAGAAGATTCGGAAGACGAAGAGACCGAAGAGGAAAGGCCGGAAACTGACTTGAGCTTCCTAGAGGAGCACCTACAAACAAGCTTTGGGAAAGGAAGCGGGAAGAACAAAGGGCCCAGTATATTGCACAACCCGCTTTCAAAGAAGTTGTTCCGAAATCCGGTCCCCCCAAACTTCTCGTCGTTGGGCCTCCCGACTTACAACGGGGATACGGACCCGCACGATCATCTTAGCTCGTTCACCATGAAGATGCAGCTGATCAACGCCACTGACGCAGATTTATGCAAGGCATTCCCCATCACCTTCGGAGGGCGGTGCAAGACATGGTACACCTCCCTCCCCGAGGGAATCATCGACAATTTCGAGCAGTTTGCGACCCTCTTCACATCCAAGTTCGCCTCTCAAATTCGGAGGCGCCTCACTGTCACTGCGCTTATTAATTGCACGCAAGGGGAAGGAGAAACTTTGACTAACTTCTACGATAGGTGGAATACCATCGCTTGCGAAATACAAGGCGTGACACCGAACGTAGCGGCGGGGAGCCTAAGGATGGCGACGAAGAGCAAAGAGCTTCAGAGAGCGCTGATCAAAAAAGAACAGGATATCAAGACGTGGCCAGATTTAGACAACTTGGTAAGGCGGGCAATAACGCTAGAAGACGCTTTAACCCCCGCCGAACGGGGAGGAAGAGGAAGAGAGACGCGGAAAGGGAACCGATCCCCTCCTCGGCGAGGACGGACACCGGAGCGGCATAGTTACAAGGCGAAAGGGAGGGCAGGCGAAAACAAAAGGGAAGTCTATGCCACAGAGCGAAGCAGGAACGAGGTCCCGCCCCAAAGGCAGCAAGAGGAAAGATCACGTCCCGAAGCGCAGAGGCGGCCCGACGCCCCTGTATTCAGAAGGTGGTGCGATTGGCACCAAAGAACTTCACATAACACCGCGGACTGTCGAGATTTTCAATTGAGCCTTGCAAACCTAGCGCCCGGCGACTTACGAAGCAGGCTGGAGGCAAAGAAACAAGAAAGGACCAGATCGCCGTCTTTGAGGCGGCATCGGAGCAGATCTCCAAGAAGACCGCGGTCCCGGTCCCGAGGGAGGAGATCGAGATCGCCCAGAAGGTCAAGGTCCCGTGATCGGAGGGAAAGGGGGAGGCTTCCGTCACCACCTGACGCACCACCCCCGAGGAGGCAGCCACGTTTGGACGAAGACGACTTAGAAATAATAACCATCTCCGGAGGAAGGAAGCGACCCCGAAACCCTGATGAGGGAGTTCCGTGCCTAACTGTAGCAAACGCGCACACCGCGGAGGTGGTGTTCCATGCGTCCGAACTGGCCACTTCTGACGCCTCAGAGGATCCGCTAGTGATATCCTTCCGCACGGAAAAGTACAAGGTCACCAAGACGCTTATTGATAACGGAAGCTCAGCCGACATTCTGTTCTTTTCGACCCTCAAAAGTATGAAGAAAGGGGTTGAGGACCTCAAGCCTTCCACCACACAGCTGGTAGGCTTCTCCGGATCCAAGATAAAGGTCTTAGGCGTAGTCACGCTACGCGTAACAATTGGCGAGGGAGGCGTAACCAAGACTAAAGCAATGGAGTTCCATGTGGCGGACTGTCCATCAGCATACAATGCCATACTGGGGCGTGGCTTCCTCGCCACGTTCGGGGCAGTGGCGTCCACATGTCATCAAAGGCTGAAGTTTACGGTGGGAAGCGGAGTGGGATGCGTGAAGGGAAACACACAACAAGCTCGGGAATGCTACCAAGCCACCATAAAACAACTGGATGTAGACTTGGTGGATACGAGAAACGACCATCCCCGGCCGGAGGCGTTAGATGGGGATGCAGCTGTACCACTGATAGAGAGCGAGCCGGAAAAGACCGTGCGTATATCTGCCCACCTAAACCCTGACTTGGCTGCAAGCATGCTGCTCCTTTTGCGGGAATTCTCCGATCTTTTCGCTTGGGGACCGGAGGATATGCCAGGCGTGCCTCGCGAACTCGCAGAGCACCACCTTGCAGTGAAGCCAAATGTACGCCCCGTAAAGCAGAAGCGGAGAAACATATCTGTCGAGAAGCAAATGGCACTAGAAGAGGAAATAAAAAACTTCTCAAGGCGGGTTTCATCAAGGAGGTCCGATACCCAACATGGCTGGCCAACCCAGTGTTTGTGAAGAAAAGCTCGGGATTATGGCGCATGTGTGTCGACTTCACCAGCCTGAATAGCGCGTGCCCCAAAGACGCGTACCCGCTTCCCAGGATTGACCGACTCATCGATGCCACTGCCAATCACTCCATGCTAAGCTTCCTGGACATGTTTTCGGGATATCACCAGATCAGCCTTGCTGAAGAGGATCAAGAGAAAACCGCCTTCATGACAGCCACGGGAAACTACTGCTGGGTAGTCATGCCCTTTGGTTTGAAGAATGCGGGTGCGACATATCAAAGGATGGTGGATACGGTGCTACGCAACCAGATAGGGCGGAACGTGGAGGCTTATGTAGATGACGTGCTGGTGAAAAGTAAGGAGGCGGGAACCCACTTACAAGACTTGAGGGAGACGTTTTCGAATATGCGGAAGCATGGGTTGCGCCTAAATCCAACAAAATGCGTGTTTGGCGCGGAGGCGGGAAAGTTTCTAGGGTTTCTAATCACGAAGCGGGGAATTGAGGCCAATCCGAAACAAATCGAGGCAATACTACAACTCAAGGCCCCGAAAACGATCAAGGAGATACAAGCTTTCAACGGAAAGATGGCAGCCCTCAGCCGGTTTATACCCCGCTCAGCGGACAAGTGCTCCCCATTTTTTCAGGTCCTAAAAAAATCAACCACTAAGTTCAAATGGAGCGAGGAGTGTGATCAGGCTTTCATGCGCCTCAAAGAACAACTGTCGTCTCCCCCCGTGTTGAGCGCCCCTATTAACGGAGAGCGTTTATTCCTATACCTAGCGGTGTCCCATCAGGCGGTGAGCTCAGTGCTTGTAAGAAGAGCGGAGGATGGCAAGGACCAACCTATATACTATGTGAGCAAAGCGTTACTTTCAGCGGAAACAAGGTATTTGGTGGTTGAAAAGGCGGTCCTAGCGGTGGCAATGACGGCGCGGAAATTGCGACCCTACTTTCAGAGCCACCCTATTACTGTCCTATCCAACTTACCGCTCAAGAAAATACTACAAGGGATGGACGCCTCCGGAAGGATGACAAAGTGGGCGGTGGAGTTGAGTGAGCACGACATCTCCTACGCTCCCAGACCAGCAATCAAGGCCCAAGTTTTGGCCGACTTTGTTGTCGAGGGCTTCACCACTGATGAGGGCACCAATAGAGAATTTGAAGCGTGGAAGCTGTTGGTAGATGGAGCTGCGGGCAAAAGAGGTGCGGGAGCGGGGATCGTCATAGAAACCCCCGACGGAGTGGTTCATGAGGTGGCCATGCGTTTTAACGCCCTGAAGACTAACAACGTCGCTGAATACGAAGCGTTAATAAACG